AGTGATTGAATCGACTATCCAAACGTCCTCAACATGTTCATCCATTTGGTCCTCCTCGACATGTTCATCCATATGAGCATCTGCGACAAGATCGACCATCTCACATGAAAAGCAGAGGAATAATGTGAATTCTATGGTCAAATCAAATTAACCCTTCCATCATAACTCAAGTGAAAGGGCACACTATGGGACAAGGATACAATCCCTGACCAAGCCCCTGCTCGAGCTCTCAAAAGGAAATCAAAACTACCCCTGGGCCAAGGGCACGATCAAAATTGGTTAGACAAGCAAAGACAAATACTTCACACGTGGAAAAATCTTCTCCAACTTATAAATCATATGAGGGATTAATGTTTCCCCGAGGAACTCATGAATCTCCCGAGGAGAAAACATGAATATTTCTGGGGGAAATAATGAATCTCTCAGGGAATGCGTGAATCTTCCGAAGAGAAACATGAATATCGCGGGAGAAAACATGAATCTCTCAGGGAACACATGAATCTCGCGGGGAAAAATAGTAAAATCTATGAATGTCGCAGGGAGAACCTGCCCGGAATGCAAAATTCGTATAAGAACATGCATGTTGTGAAGATTAAATGGATCTTGGATAAAGGGAAGACACTTACTTGGCTGGGAGTTCATTCTAGAGAGTCGGGTGGCGACTACGGAGGCTAGATATGGATCAGAGAAAGAGAAGTGAGAGGGAGAGAAAGGATTCCTAAAGCAAAAAATAAATCCTTAAGCCCCTATTTATAATCCTGCACGGAAGACGAAACGTCACCTTGACACGCAGCCGTCCACGCGCCTAGGTCATAATGACCCATACACCTAGGCCATCATTACACATTAAATGTTGTGACACGTGGCCAAGTTAACAAACATCGACCGAGACTTTTCGATTCCTGGATAACGGGTGAGAAAAACTTACTCTTCTGCAAGCATACCACTACTCCCGAACATGGCATCCACCTATCATTTCCCCTCTGCAAGGAAGATTGTTAATCTAGATGATCATTTCCCCCCTGCGAGGAATATTGTTAATCTGGATGAACACGTTCCCCCTTCTACATACGCTGGACTGCAAGTTGATACCCGAGTAATTGTTCCCCGTGCGTGGCTTGGCGATGGAGACTCAAAGGAAGCCATAGAGATCCTCGACATCGGTGTCTCCTCGACACTCGAGCTGACCTAAAGTCATAACTCCTCTACTTAGGAGTAACGACTTGGCGAGCTCCTATTCTGGAATGGGTCGACACTTAATCTATTGTCGAGCTAGGCCCAGTCCAATGCTACTAGAGGCCTAATAACCTATAGGGGGCCAGGTCTGCACTTGGTCCCTAGTCGGGCAAGTTCATGTTGTTATAATCATTGAGGAAAACCCCATACACGTTCCCATCAAGGACCTGGTCCTCAGCCCATGCATATCAAGAACATCTCTGCAGTATACTCGTTGAGGATCTGATCTTTAGCGCGTGCATGTTGGGAACCTCTCCTAAATATGCTCGTTGGGGACCTGCTCCTCAACACATGTATGCCCGCCACGATACGTAGACAACGTTCCTCCGACTATCACTGAGTCATCCTGCTCCCGAAAAGAATAAGTCTTCATCCTCCGAGAATCACAGAGCAATTGAACCAGGATAAAGATTATGAACTGGTCTCCTCTACCCATGCAGGATTCTGGCAGTCTCCATTTTGGGCCCGGGCATCAGGCCCAAATGAGGATCTTGGCCCAGCGTTAAGGGCTATAAATATCCTCTTTCATCAGAGGGCCAGATACACTATTCATTCACTCCCTCACTCTCTACTTGCATTTTCTCTGAACCTTACCTTGGCATCAAAGTGTCTTGCAGGTACCCCCACTTCACTTTTAACCGTCGTTCAGTTCAAGCTTATGGGCCATTGACGGTCCATTCTGGTCATGTATAATCAGAAACCATTAGTACTAAAATTATTTCTCATAAAATATATGCTTGTTATCATTAAAATTTAGAGATGAAACATAGATCTAAATCATGTTCTAACAAGTTTGAGTAATATATCTCTTGAATTCCCTGTATAGTAAAGTTACCATATTGCATTGGCTTGACAACATTGTTGGTTGAATGATGTTTTCCACAACATCCATATGTGTTAGTTTGAGTAATATATCTCTTGAATTCTCTAACTTAAAGTTTTAGATCCATGTATCATAAATAAAATTCTCCATACTTTACCACTACCTCATGAAGATAATTTCTTATAGAGTCTACTATTGTGAGGAAGTACATGATCTTGTGTTGTAGTGGGTGTTGTATGAAGCTACATTTATGGCCTCTTTAATCTCTCTTTTTTGTTTCGACAAATACAGTTTGAATCCATCAGTGTCTTTTGCCCATGGCTTTCCAATGATCTCCATGTCTTCTTGAACCCCTGGAGGGAGAGGGATTTGACACGTGTTTGTGAAGATATTAGCTCTCTGAATCAATGCAAATGTTTCATGAGCTTGTTGCACTTCTATGTTGCATTGCTTATCTGTATGGTTCTTATGTCCTATGTAAATCGTAATGGCCATTTTCTCAGATAGATTTATAGTATCCTCATGATCACACTCTTGAGAAACATGAGCATCATCACTACTAATCCATCCATGAGCCCTCACTAGATGTTTTTCAATTTCATTATTAATAACAACATCTTCCGCATGTGGAGATCTATCGAACGTTGCACTTGAATTCTCTTATGAAATATGAAGGTGATTCATTGGAGTATTGCTATCATGTACCGTGTCATCATGCAATTGGGTTTCTTCCATTATCACCTCATGTATTTGTTCATTAGTGTCGTTAAGTGACTTCACCACATGGCTATGTTTGACATTGCTCTCGTGATTTTTCTCATTATCATGTTGCCTAACACATTTTGTATCATCTTGGACTAGAATTTCTTCCACTCTCACATGATGTTGTTGTGATTTAGTTTCCTTGATTATATATTGCTATTGTTTTCTAATTCTCATCTTTGTTGGTCACGAATTTCCAGTATCTTATTTAATTTTTTTGTTGCAATTATTAGATGAATGGCCAATGACTATACACTAAGCACAATAATTCAATACCTTTTCATAAGTTATCGCTACATAAAGCACATAGTCTTTTTGTTCCACCATAATCTCCTTAACTAACCGTTGTGATAAATCAATGTCAATCAAAACCCTCACGAAGTGTCCAAATGATTTTTGTTTTGTTGCTTCATCCAACATTAATGGAGTCCAAATTCCTCCAGCAATTTCGAACAAAATACACGACCTCTAGTATTCTTGAGGCAAATCATAAATCCTCACCAAACTTGCACATGTGTTTGGCGTTGAGTGCCTGGGTTGAACTTCGCTGTCCACTTTGATATTCAAAGTAAACTAAGATTTAAGTTGCATGAACCAAGCACCCATGCTTTCTGTTTATCTTTCGGTGTTATCGAATTGAAATTTAAAGTAGCTTTTACCTAAAGGCCCAATCTTCCGTTCTGCCATGTCCGACCATATGTCGTCGAGCTTTTTTGCAAGATCTCGAGTTGTCCAAGGTTTGTCTCCCTTGCTCATGATCAATAATTTTAAGTTTTTAAGAAACATGTTTTGTTTGAAAGAGATGTGTGATTCCCTTTTGGTGAAAATAATATGTTATTACATGGTTTTAATTTAAAAATGTTTTCGGAATTTTAGGGTGTTACATAGTTGATTCAGAGCATGTCAGTTCATTCGGCCTAAGTGTTTATAATTTTATTTGTTCCTTAGTATACGCCATGTGTGTGAAACACTATCGATGCTCGTTTTCTTTCAGATAACTAACATGAATGGGTTTAAAATAAGTGGAGGGAGAATAAGTTGAGGGTAACATGACGGGAAAGTTAGAGAGTTAGATGACAAAGTCATATCTAGAGTTGTTTCCTTTAGGTAATTTTCGAGGGCAAAAATTCTTTAGGCTGGGGAGATATGTGACACAATTTTGGTGAAAATAATATGTTATTACATGATTTTATTTTAAAAATGTTTTCGGGGTTTTAGGATGTTACATAAATGATTCTTGAATTCATCAAATCCCTTCTTGTATTCCTCTTGTGAAATTATTATACTAATTGTGTCTCCTTTTAATGTAAGTTTTGACAACTTAGTTATCTCCACTATCTCCTCCACACGATCCAAAACATGAAGAAAAGTTTTCTACCCCATCTTATTTGAGTTCTCATTCACACTTTGGACGTGGATGATCTAAAGGTAACATGCACTTTCATGGACAACTATATCGTTGAATATTCATGATGTGACACGAAGCCCTAGCGGAGCAATCATCAGAGTTTATTATCTCTATTAAATTATTTATTTAAAATCTTACTATTTGTTTATCTTTGATATGTCTTCATCGCGTCCTTAATAATATCCCATAAATAATGGATGATTTAATCGAATTTTGTGTACTAATGAGGATCAATGCACTACGCTTTAAAAAAAATATATAATGACTTGTTCTAATAGAATTGTATTTCTTAATTCATTTTAATTTTATTTTAAATTTTGTAATCTTAAATAAATAACAAAAATCAAAGTTTATAAATAAATAAAAATTTAGTTCTCTATAATTATACACAATCTATAATTATAAGATATCCAAAAACATAAGCCAAAGTATCCAAACGCGATCACTTGCAACAACAAAACACAATCTACGCCCTCTTCATTCTCCAACTCCCACTTCAAATTAGGGTTTTCAATTCTTCCAATCGATCCAATCCCAAATTCCACACTCCCACGGTATCAATCCTCTTTCTCTTCCTTCATCACTTCCGTGTCAGTATCAGACACATGCACCCACACTTTTGATTATGTTTATTATTTTTAAAAATTATTACCGGTGTCGCCGTGTCTGTGCTTCATAAATCACTTCCATTTCACAATTTCAAAATTTTCCAATTCTTTCCCCTTTCCGTACCCTAATTTCACAGCTATCGCATCGATTTTAGTTTCAGGTATGGGAAGCAAAGGCCGCATGCCACCGCCACAGCATTTACGCCGCCCGCATCCACATCCACCAGGTCCCGCCATGCTCCACCACGCGCTTCCACCACCAGCTCCCGGTCCATTCGATCTCATGCCGCCGCCTGCGGTAATGGAACAAAAACTCGCGTCACAGCACGGCGAAATGCAGAGATTAGCCACTGAGAATCAGAGGCTGGCTGCCACACACGGTGTTCTGAGACAGGAGCTTGCGGGGGCGCAACATGAGCTGCAGATGTTGCACGCGCATGTGGGATCGCTTAAGACGGAGAGGGAGCAGCAGATGCGGTCGGTGGTTGATAAGATTGCGAAGATGGAGGTGGAGTTGAAGGCGGTGGAGCCGTTGAAGATGGAGTTGCAGAAGGCGCGTGGAGAGGCGCAGAGTTTGGTGGTTGTGAGGGAGGAGCTTATGGCGAAAGCTCAGCATTTGAATCAGGAGATTCAGAGGGTTCATGTTGATGTGAAGCAGATTCCGGCTCTTATAGCAGAGCTTGAGCGGCTCAGACAAGAGTATCAGCATTGCAGGTAATCTTTTGAACCTTTATTTATTTATTTTTAGATCTGTTGATTAAATGCATAGTTAGTTACACTATTCTCTCAATAGATTCATCAATCAAGGCATAGGTTGGGTTAATTTCTAATAGGTCTTTATGGAGATATTAAGTTAGATAATTTATGGATTTTCATCCTTAGAAGCTTATATAGGTGTTTATGGATTTTCATCCTTAGAAGCTTATATAGGTGTTTATGGATTTTCATCCTTAGAAGCTTATATAGGTGTTTATGGAGATATTAAGTTAGATAGTTTCTGACAAATTTGAAGATCAGAAGCTGTTTTCAACTTATAAGCTATCTCTTTTAGCTTAACTAACCATTCAGCTCAGCGGATCCTCCTATGCTCTCCCCATTTTGGCCCTTCTCTATCTCTTCTGGTGCACATCTTTCAAATATTTGGCCTTTGGCCGATGTTGCCTATGGGTACGGGATACAACTTATAGAAAAACTAATGGTATTGGTACATTAATAATATGCAAAGGGACGTGTTTCATATCATAAGTATAATAATTAACAAAAAAGAGCAAGAAAGCATCTTTTATAATTTACTACATCACAACCTAAATAGAAGTCGGAAAATATTTATACATAATCAATATTGATCCTCCTGATGTGCCCACTTTTGCATGGTAGAATTTATAGAAACTGAAATCTAGGAAGTTTTGATTTTTTCGGACTTATGTGGTTTTGATGTACGATTGATTGTGGTTGTCTAGGGGGCCAACGTAGTTGAGATGTTAGACTTCATTGTAGAGAAAGTGTAAATCGTAGCACTGTAACACGGATCATAAGAGCTCACCAAATATATAAAACTATGGAAATAACTAGGAAAACAACTTTAACATGTCAAAATCGGGATCCCACTAATGATTGAATATAGAGAAAACGTTAGTTGTAGGACCGTAACACAGATCTAAGATCCCACCAGATATATAAAATTATGGAAATATCTAGGAAAACTACTTTAACATAAAATCTCATTAATTTAATCATAAGTAGCAAACATTATCTAAAAAACATAATTTTCTCAAACATCAGTTAAAAACAGGAATGGATGAAGACATAGTGAAAATAATTGAAGGGTTCTGTTTTTTGGGAAAGAAAGAGAAACTGAAGAGATAATATGAATTGCACTTTCAGAGATGAAAAGGTTGAAGAAATTAATCAGAATTTATAGAAAAAAATGGAAGAAGGAAAGGAATTGATTCATTGAATGAATAAATGATGAGAAATTTGTTTCCTATGCAATTTCTCAATTGAAAGGTTACGTGTCCCAAAACGGGGGCCGCGCGAATCTCACGATTCCACACGTTTCCTCTACGCGCCGACCATTTCTCCTCTTTCCACGATCTTCTAACCAATTCAACATGGTGGAAGGTTGCAGGCGCGTGAAATATCTTAGGATCTAAAGCGTGATCCTGACAATCATGTATATGATTAATACTAATAGTATGCTGCAGGTTCACAGACCTCGTGAAATATGCCTGTATTTTGCAAACTTAAAAATAAATGCTACGTTGTCCATGAATTGTTCTACTGTTACTTTTCCCCGCCAGAGTTTTTTCATTTTTTTGTTGATGTAGTGTGTGTTCCCTGAGTTTAGACTTTGGAGAAGTGTTCTGTCTTCTGTGATTATATTGAGGGTTTTCCACAATGAGAAAGGAGAGACTTATGTTGTATTGATAAACTATTTAGTTTGTCATTGTTTAAAGCTTAGAAAAATAATGCCATAGAAACTGGTTACTATAACTGTTTATTAATGACAATATCTTAGATAGCTGGTACTATACCTGTCATAACTCATAGGTATATTCAGGATATGATGAATATGTGAATAAAGGATAGGAATAGAAACGGCAGAACTGAGGAACAAAGCCTGGGGTTGTAACTTCCTGCAAGAAAGTTATTGAATTGACAAATAACACGAAGTGTTTACAATCAGCAATTGAACTAAGAAACCAACCTCTAGGAATGAAAGAGCCTAGTCTCTCCCAAACCAACAACCTACAACCTACAGAATACATAATGCCCTCCCTTTACCCTTTCAACCTATATTTATATTTATAAGTCCGACTCCCTACTGCAGTTACTGCAGTGCACACACAACATTTGATAATAAAATAAACTTCCGATTACTAACATAATGATTCAATGTTACAAATGATTTTAGAACCTAATGCTTTTAGTTTGTCTTTGTTGTTTATCCCTACTTTTAATTAAGCACTTATTCTTTTAAAGAAGCACAAACAAATAGGCCCTTGATATTATCTGTTTTAGAGAAATTCTCACCAAGCCACAGGTTGTTTTTTATTTTAAAGATGCACCAACAAACAGGCCCTTAATATTGTCTGTTTTAGAGGAATTCTTACCAATGCCACAGGTTGTACTTCCCTTTTCGCTTAGCAGTCTAATTAAATTTGTTTTTCCATTAAATAGGAGGGAAAAACCTCTAATGGCGTTATCTGTTATTGTTGTCCTCTTATTTATGATTTTAGTTAGCATGAAGTGCTTTTACTTTCATGATGCTTTGTCATCCTTCTGACTGTCATAATGGATATGGTTATCTGTAAATTATGACACAAGCCTTACTACAAAAGAAAACTCAATCCAATCAATACGAATTGTTGCATATCTATTTTAGACATGAATCCAACATAAATCTCGATTCATTATGATGCATCTGGATTCATTCTGATGAATTACAACTTGCCCTTGAAATTTGTGTAGCCCGTCACTTTTTTAGGCAACTTTTTGTAGCCAGGCATTTTTCTGTCATTTAGTTTATGACTTGAATCTTGAAATAGTTTGAGGTTCATATACAAATATATCAGTTTATGTTTTTGCATGTCACTTGTCTTTACTTAAAAGTGTCATTTTTTTTATTGATCATCTATCTTATTATTCAAAATAAGATTTGATTCATTAGGATAAGTAGTTTGAATGGTTTTCTCTGGTCTCTTCCCTTGGCCCCTTCAGGTTGTCTTTATTGAGGTGACCTGCTCGTCCTTTTTACATGTATTTGGCTTTTCTTTTGCTAATTGTTACCTTCCTTCAGCTCCTCACAAATATCAAGCATAACCTAAGCAAAAAAATTCCAGAGATGGTACTAGATATTGAATAAGTTAGTATGTGATTTATTGGTTGTCAATACTAGAGTCATTTAGTACTTGGTATCTCTCAATCTAGGATTTCATGGTTGTGTGCTTGGATTGTTGTTAAGTGTTATCATGTCTTTTTTCAATGTACAGTTTTTCTGTGGGTACACTGCTCATCAGTTGTTGATTCTAGAATGTCTGTGATGCAGAAGCAAGGGTGTTATATCAGTGGGGTGATACTACTATTAATATGGCTTTTATAGCTTAGGAGTAGAATCATTGACATCAATGTTTTAGAGTCTGATTTGTTTAATGTTGGTGTGAAGGTTCTTTCCAATTTAACTAGCTAGATGCACGTGGCTGAATCCCATATCTACTGTGCACTATTTGTTAAAGTTCTCATCTAAAGCCCAAGGCTCTCCATTTTCTTTGCTAGCTTTTAGAAGTGGGTTATCCTCCACATCACTCAGTTCTGATAGGGTTGGGATTAATTCTTCATTTAGGATAATTATATAAGGTTTAATTTTTTTAAACATGGCTTTACTATCTTTTTTTTAATTTTAAATATTCATATTATTTCTTCATTTAGTGGGATAAGGCTTGATGGTTGTTGTTGTAGATCTTCATATTATTCAATGGAATCCATGAACCATCTTTGGTGTGTTCTTTAGTCAAATACTAGTACTAGTAGGGTGATGCGTAGTAATATTTTTTTCAAACTTCATTTCATCTTTACATTTTTCCTCATGTTGGGTGGGCCGTTTACACCTGGCTGCAATTTTTTTCTGTTTTATCTTAACTAATCGTCCGAAATCTCAGTTTGACTGTCTCTGACGAGAGTATCAAATTCACAAATACTTTTTCGCTGTGTTTTATTTAAGTTTGGTTTAGTGGGTAAAATGCATAGTCACTAGGTTTTCTTGACAACATTACCTAAATCGTATGGATGGCCCCCATTGTATACTCAATCATCGCACATATTGAAATATCAGAATGTACTATCATGATTTCGTTGTTACTGAATACAATACATTCAACTCTATTTATAGAGTTGTAGGTAGGCTAAACTAACTCCCTTAAATCAAGGGAACAGTTCCTGAATTCAAGGAGCTGTTACAACATAAAGGGGAAATCTTGTTATCATTATAATAAAGGGAAAACGGATCAACTGTATACATATACCTTACCTATTGTTAGAATATAAATGATATCTCATAATATCTTGATATTATGTTAAAATATCTTGGGTATCTCCTTGGATTAATTTTGATATTTTTCTTAGTTTTTATTTCATGATTTCCCTAATTTATTTAAGATTGAGTCTGTATTTCTATAAATAGGGATTAGTGTTTAGTCTTTAATACGAAGTCAATATCAAACATAATTCACTATAAATGTATTTATTATTTCTCTTCTCCTTTTATCCAAAATCCCATAACTTCAACATGTTATAGTCTGGCTCAATCCTCTATGACCTGTTACTATTCTGCTGTCAGTTGTTATAAGTTTCAGCATGCTTTCTGGCTCCTTAGCCGCAGTCACCTTCAACAACCATAATCACTGCCATTCCAGGAACCATCATGGTGGCCAGCCACCGTTGGCAGCTGTGCCAGAGCACTTTATGGTGTCGTTCTCTGGGGTCCAACGACATTCGAAGCACCATGTGCCGTTCTACGTCGTCCCAAAACCTCCTTTTGATCCGAGAGACGATCACACACGCCTGCACTATTTCAAAAATCAGTCACCGCCTTTGCTGTTTGTGGTTGTGCGTCTGGTAAACTTTTCGGCAATGTTTTTACACACGAAGGTTGCAGTGCAATCTGGTTCTAGATCCAATATTTTTCTGTGTTCTAGAACATGGTGACGGTTTCTTTTGCAAACAACCATTTTTCAGTACAATTTTTGTCTCCTCTAGCAAGATTTGTCCTGGATTGGTTATATTGTAACTCCGCAACATGATTTGCTATCGTTATAGTCTTGCTTCTTATCCTTCTTTGGTGTTTGTCATGCAATTCTTTTCTCACGAACTGATCCTATCAAAGGCTTTTCTTCCCACTGGCAATCATTTTGGCGGCGACTCTTTTCCCACATGAGTTCTTTTTCCATTGATGGCCATTCTGACAATGACTTTTATTGGTTATGACTCACTAGCCAGCTTTCTTATTTTGCTCCTCTATGTTACATTATATTGGTTTTTCTCCTAGGATCAGTTTTCAACTTAAACATATTTTAGGTTATCTCCTATGACTAGTTTTTATATTTCTTCTATTATTATATTACACATCTAATGCATGGTTACCATATTCTCTCAATAGACATACATTGTTCTGAATATCCATCATGTGTGTTGCATACTAGTTTCGCTTTAAAGAAAATATTGTTATATTAATGTCAAATGTGCTAGATTGCATAGTTTCAAATTGCGGTTGGAGTTGTGAATATGATCACATTTGCAGTTGGGGCCACTATGTCTACAAGCATCGCGGCTATTGTGGTTGTAACAATGTGGATTTGTTTTATGTTTAGGTTTTATTCTTTATGGCATATCTTAAACCTCTCACATCTCTTGTTCCCAACCTCCCCTCTAAAATGTAACCTTTTCCTCATTACCAACTCTCTATCATCCTAGTATCTCCAAACTATTAAAGTTCCTTGTAAATCTACATTCTGAATGGGAATATTGAAAAATAATGTGTGGGGACCATAATGCTTGTTGCGGCCTAATGCATATCCATATTTCCACGTGTTCAAGACAACTATGTTTAAATGTCATTGTAGGATATCATACAGTATCTGAAATTTGTATTTTGAGATGCAATTTCTGTATGACAAGTCCACCAGTTTAATTGAAGGAGATTTTTTTTGGTTTTGTTTAGAAGCTTTAGAGTACAGGAGGAGACTGCAATAATGTATGGAGATGTGGCAAGTTTAGCTGTAGTTGAATGCATTCTGTAACATTTATTTTTATCTTTTTTTTGAGGGATACAAGGAGTAATAACTTGATGAATTAAATGCTAAGATGTGAGTGTAAGGGAAACATTGATATATTATTTCTTATTTTCTTTTACTTGCTCATACCGAGTTATGAAGATAAGAATTGACTTTGGAATTACTTGTATGCATTTTATCTACGGGGAAAATATTGTGAAGGATTTGTTCCATAGGCATCTGGGTTATTAGAGAAGAGAAACTGAATGCAAAACTAATTTGAAATCACTGACTGATATCAGAAGCTATTGAACTGGACAGGTTCTGTCACATCACATAAGAAATATTATGAATGCTCCTCTTACTTTAAAATCCTGCTGTGCTCACTTTTACATGGTAGAATTGCTAGGGGATCTTACAAACTTATGAAGGATTTTTTTTATCTGGAGTGGGAGAAAATAGAAGAGGTCATCACTTGCATGTGGCACCTCACCATTCATGATGAGAGAGGGACTTTAGCCTCCCAATATATTCCAGTCCATTTCTTTTATGCCAAGACATTGTTATTATTATTATTATTATTATTATTATTTTTAATACCAAAACTTGCTTAGATGGAATATTCATAATAAGCCTCTGCTGGCCTAGGATGGAGGAGAGTTTGGGTCTCTGTAACTTGGTTTCTGAAAAAGTTATTGAATATTCATCCGGGGTTGGAGTTTATACTAGTTAAGTGTAATCATGTCTTATTTCAATGTCCACTTTTCCTTTTTGAGTCTGGACTGCTAACTGCTAAGTAGTAATCAGACTTGAGAGAATCTGTGACGTGGGACTCAGAATGTAATATCTGTACATGGTCCCTTTGTTTATGCTTCAAAAGTATAGATTACATCTTTTGAAGTTATCAGTTTAGATTTTAGGAATGGAATATCCTTCACATTAAGTGTTCTTAGAGCCAGATTTATTTTATTTTATTTAGTATTAATGTTCTTTCCAGCCTGACTAACTCTATTCATGTGTATGAATCCCATATCACCGGTACACTAAATTTTTTTATTTAAATTAGGGGCTTTCCCTTTTTATTAGCTTAGCTTTTACGCGTCGGTTCTCCTCTACATCACCTAGCTCTTATAAATAGGAGCTCTTCTTCATTCTAGTAAGTTGAGTTATAAGGTTTATAGCAATGGTTGTAGTAATTTCCCCCCTCCCCCTAGATGTTCAGGTTTATCAATAGAAACCATCTCCGGTCTATTGCAATCAAACCCTCAGTTGATGCCTAGTTTCCTTTCTTAATCACTGTTATGTCTTTACCTTTGTCCTACAGTGGTGTAGACTTGTGCTCTGAGCTGCGACATTTTATTCTGTTCTATTTGCTTAACTGGTTAACCAATATTTTCCAGAAATCCCCGTAATTGTAATTTCCATACATAATTTTTCTTTCCTCCAAAATGCATCAATTTCTCGGAACTGGTTATATCTTTCTTTTAAGTTGCTCAGAAATGATTATATCTGCTGTCATTAAAATTCCACTTAAACCTGGTAGATTTCTTTAGCTTGATTATATCCTAGAATCTGTTGACCTCAAATTCCTAATTTCATAGATGCAAAATCTGCCCTGCCCTCTTGACTTCCGAAGTTGTTTTCTCTTTATTATGAGTCAAGACCAATGATCATTTTTATTTTGAACTATACCAAGATTTGAAAGATTCCCCCCCACGCAGTTTGTTTTCTGAGCCAGTTCATTTACTTAGTCATTTTCAAACATGGGAGTCTCTTCAATCCTAAATCTATAGATTTTCTTAGCGATTTGATGGCCAGGGAATAAGACTTAGCCTGTAACACCAGGGCATCATCCTATACTTCTATTTTTTATGCAGGCCTGTTTGGTTCAATTAGGTGGTTGGAAATGTTAGGCTTAGAAGTCAAAAACGGGTCTAGCAGCTATGAGTCTGTATTTTGGTTTATTGGTAAATCTTCCATTCTTCACGTTCATATGCCCATTCTATCTAGCATCCAAATGGCCACCAATGTGACCCTTCAATCCAATCCACGACTTCCAATTGATCCGTACATCAGATTCACACAATGAACCATCCATCCACCAATTTCCACCTGGAATTTCACCCAAGTTGACCCTGAACCAGCCCATTATTTCTGTTCACTCTTTCCTTACATCTTGCTAGTGTAGCGTCAGAATACCATGTTTAGTGCCCCTGATATTCTGTTGTTCTGGTCATGCAGGGCCACTTATGACTATGAAAAGAAATTATACAATGACCACCTTGAGTCACTTCAGGTGATGGAAAAGAACTATGTTTCTATGAGTAGGGAAGTGGAGAAGCTTCGAGCAGAGCTTACAAACACGGCTAACGCTGATCGAAGTAGTATGTATCTCCTCTGTTATGTGTTTTCTACGATAGAATCCTTAGTCTTCAATTTTTCATGTTTTGTGGATTGATCATGGCGTGCAATAAAATTTAGGTGGGCCATATGGTGGCACCTCTGGAACTAATAATAAAGAGGCTTCTGGTCTTCCTGTGGGACAAAATGCATATGAAGATGGTTATGCTGTTGCACAGGTGTGTGATGACCCCATGTGTTACATTGTTTTAAGTTCCCTGCGGGAGTGCATCATTATAGTCCGTTATCTATATTTATTAACTTATTAATTCCTGAAGTTAATTTGATAACGATTAATGTCTGGTCTAGTTTTTGCTTGTGTTGACTTAGTTATTTTATAAAAACTATCCAATTAAATATAGCATATATGTACACTGATTACAAATTGATAACGAGTAATAAATAGCAGTGCTGTCCCGCTATAGCGGAGCGGAGGCTGACCGCTGTGGGAAGAGCCTTAGCGGTGTAGAACACTATAGCGGCCGCTATAGGGTAAATAGAGGGATAGCGGTTCCCGACCCGGAGCGGTTTCTGGCTTACTATCCTTTTTCCCTCTAAAAAAGCGAAATTACCCCTAAAATTTACAACATTTTAAGGGTAATTTTAGGTTTTTCAATCAAATTTGTAGTTGAGAATCAACCATAACCTTCCTACATAGTCATTTATGCACTTCAAGAGTCACACGTGGTTTGTTTTCTGAATATTTTATGAGTTGAGTAATTTTTGTAATTTTCCATTGAATATATGTTTATAATTATTAAATGTAATTTGTCCAAAAAATGATCAAAATAGAGAGGTCATCTCGCTATACGCTATCCCACTTTTGGGGTCGGCCACTCCGCACCGCTATCCGGGAATGACTACTCTGGTTAATAATAACTACATAACTCTGGTCTGCTGTCAACTAGTAATGATATGTTGCTGGGATTATAATACTTTAAATCCAACATGACGAATATTTCTTGAATATTTAAATACTTGGCAGTAGTTTTGCTTATGTCTCCTAGAACTGTAGAATACCCGAGTTCAACAGACTTTGTTCTGATTTATATCATAAGATTTAACAGTTATCTGATTTATGTAAAATAGACACTTCTTAATATTTACTTTTCACCATTCTGATTTTACAAATGTGACATAAAAAAGTTGTGTTGGTTACCTGGATAAAGAATTTAAAAATCTGTAGTTATGTATGTTGTTATATCTGGTATCTGTAGAGTTATGTCCGCTGTTAAATCTGTAGTGTTAGTTTAACAATACAGGGACCCGTTTCTTGCATGTGCAGAGGAAATTAACCTGATTTGGAGGAAATATAGATGTGCATCATAGAAGTTGTATGTTCAACTGCTTTGTTATTATATATGCTAAAAAAATAGTGCTAGAAGTATAATGTAACAGGATTTTTTGTGCTGCCAGAAGTACCATTTAGGAGGGTAATTCGCTTTATCTGCCATGTGAATTTTGAATATTAATGCTCCATTGTGCATATTTTTTTGTGACAGGGACGTGGCTCTCTCCCTACTGCCACCAGTAGTGGTGGTGGCAATGCTACTACAACTACTGCTGGAGTTCAACCTGGTCCAGCTTCTGCAGGGACTGGTTATGAGGCTACCAGAGGAGGGCCTGGTTACATTGCATCTGCAGGGCCTACTTATGGCACACAGAGTGGTTCCACTTACGACCCGCAAAGGTTGACTGGCTACGATGCATTTAGAGGTTCTACTTACGATGCAACAAGAGGACAAATGTTTGATGCTCAGAGAACTGGTTATGATCCACAGAGAGGTTCAGGTTATGAAGCACAAAGAGGACCTGCTTATGATCCATCAAGAGCAGCTGGCTATGATGCACAATCAAGAGGTGGTGCTGGTCCACAGGGACAAGTTCCACCTGTGAACATGTCTTATGGGTCTGCAACGCCACCTGCTCGTAATGTAGGTGGTGGTGGATACGATGCTGCTCGAGGTGTAAACTCCGCCAGGAGATGAATTTCCATCCCAATTATATATGGCAGATTGAAGTCAGATAGAATCTGAATGTGGAGATTTCGACTAATGACAACCTGAAATTGAATTGCACGAGAGTTTGTCTATCATTGAGAAATGCATTCTTACAGCATATAATTGCTTTAGAATCGATGTGTATCAAAGTATCAACGAACATCTATCTTTTTATTTTTGTGTGAAGCAAGCAACATCTATCTATTGCTTAATCTTCCTTTTAGCTTTTAATTTTATAACATCTTAAGATATGTCCAATTCCTATATCAAAGAAAATGATTGATCTTAGGCATGTCCAGTAATTTTGCCTTCTAACTATACTCCTATAAGATTTGTATCCACTCTTTTGCCATTATCAATTTGACAGTGCAGTTACTTAGGGCCTGATTATTTCAATTTTTCTAAAAATGATTTTTATAGTATAATATATTTTTTTGAAAATTTTTTTACAAAGAATTATTAGAATAAATTTTAAATGAAGTAATTTATAATAGTTTTTCTTAAAATATTATTTTAGATATTTTATACTTTTGGTAAAATTTTTTTATATTAAAATTATAAAAAATCATTTAAGTTTGAAGTTATTTCAAATAGTTTTTATAAAAATTATTTTTGAAATATATATATATTTTTTAAAAATTGTGATTTTAACTTAATTACGAATTTCAATAAATATATTTATACTATAAGATGTTAAAATTAGTCTTTTAATTTATAAAAAATAGATTTAATTTTTTTTTAATATTTAAAAAATATTTTCATAAAAATCATTTTAAAAATATTAAGAAACAATTTAATTTTTTAAAACTAAAATAAACGGGCTCTTAATTGATTGGTGTATGAAAAACCTCAATTATTTAAAGCGTTTCTTAAATAAAATTCTCGAGAAATAAATCTTCTAATTTCAACTTGCTTTACTTCCGTACTAAATTCTGAAGTTAATTTTTTATATTAGACGAAGACAGGAAAACACATAATTGGTTGCATTTTAGGTGCATAAGTTTAAGTTTCGAAATTTAGATGCATTGTTTGTTTTTCAAAGGATGGATAGGCACCACTAAAAGTATGAAATTGATAGATTTAGCTTATTCGAATAGACACAAATTATAGTATATTATTATATCATAGAGTAATTAAGAATAATAGAAATAATGTATCTTGTAGGATTGAAGAGACGGTCGGTTGAGACGAGTGATTATGAGAAGATTACTATCCTCATTGTCATTTAAGGTTTCAGAGTATGTTAATCGTTTAATGGAGTAACACTTAAATAGTTAAACGGCTAAGGGCAAAGACCTCTCATTGAGCTTAACTACATGGTCTAATCCATCTGTTAGTTAGTGATTTTCGACTAAGGAAATCCATTGTGAGCTAAGGATCATCATCAAGGACAAAGTACTTTCGACACAACCCATGATGAGGTAAGAAGCGTCGACAGGTTACCAAGGTTAAAGTCTCTGAGACTTAACGAAAATTCATGATGTTGAAGCCAGGTCGATGGAGTCCAGTCGAATGCGAAAATATTTAACATTGAAGCACTTTCACCGACAGTTACCAATAGAACATGAGAAAACTCAAAAGGCAGTTTCATCACAGACTCCAAACATGGTTATATAATAACCGTCAAATGTGTAGGATATCAGTTACTTTTGTTTATTTATTTAAGTAAGTTTTTCATTCATATCAAAAGGTCGCATTTTGTAAACATTGCAAGAAAGCACTCAAAGTATTTGCGTCAAGAGAGAAATGAGTCACTTCTGAGAAATGTATGCGTGTGTCCACCTTTAATTCAAAGCAATTTCTTTCAAATTTTGTCTTGTTTATCATTTTTACCTTGTAAATTTATCTTTGTTTTTTTACCTTTTTTCTGTTTCGATTTATACCTTACTCATTTCTAATCTCAAACCATATCAAATTTAACACTAAGTCTAGGACTCTTGTAGCCGATTCTACAAGTAACCTTTAAGTGAGAGGTTAGAGATTGTTCGCGAGAAAAACTTGCGAACAAATTGACACATCTGGTGGGACTCGTTTGTGTTAAGTTTATATCAATCTGTGCAAGAGATTGAGGAGTGGTAGAAAAATGATAGATCCTAAAAATCCACATGGAGAACAACCCCAGGAGGAAATACCAGTGCTGCATCAAGTGTTGGTTCAAGCTCTGTGGTTGTCTTTGACGACCCAAGCATACCAATCACCACAAGTCAGCCATCGACTTCAAGACTAAACGTGGTCAATACTACAGGGAAATATGTGCCTAGTTTCACAATGCCTACGCATGGGGGAAACAAGTGTGTGGAATGCCAACTACAACGATGGCATGCTTGCATAACATCGTTTCGACATTTGGTGAAAATGCAACATCATCATTTTCCCCTTATCACACATCAGGGCTAGTGGGAAGTCAGTTTGGTCGTTCGACTAGACTGAGTTTTTCACATCAAGTAATACCCACTTTCACCCCGAGTTCTGTTGTAGTTATGAGGCAAAAGATGGATGAAAGTAATCACAAAATGGTCAACATGCTTACTCAACAGATGAGTTCCATATTGAGACCATTAATTGAGAGTTTGATGTAAAGTTACCAAACATTGGCAACTCAAATGATGCGTATTGGTGACTTTTATGGTGCCCCTAGAGCGCCAGTTCAACATGCTACACCACCTCCACCGAAAGAGCAAGTACAACATGAAGAAATGGTCGACGACATAATCGACCAAGAGCAAGAGATTCCCCAGCGTGCCAACCCTATACCTAGGGTTATTTAACAACCCTTAGTGGTGATAGTAAATCAAAACCATAACGCCGACCAAGTGGTCAGGCAGGTTCGACGAGATACAGTAGCTGAAGAATAGAACCTAGAAGCCATTGTCGAACGAATCATGGTTCAAAATGGAATGAATATTGGCTCTCAGAGGCCCACGTACTCTTCTCTGTTACCAAATTTTGTTTTGCAAACAAAATTACATAGGGGTTGGAAAGCCGCTAAATTCACCAAGTTTGCAGGGGATACAAAAGAGTCTATTGTTGAGCATGTTGCCAGATATCAAATCGAAGCTAGCGATATAGCCAACAACGAGGATGTGAAACTGAAATATTTTACAAGTTTCCTTTTGAAAAATGCATTTACCTGGTTTACAACGCTACCTCCCCATTTGATCCACACGTGGACCCAATTGGAGAAGTTGTTCCATGAACAATTTTACACATGGAAATAAAAAATAAGTCTAACAAAACTTGCTAGCATCAAACGAAAAGCTACTGAGTCCATCGACCAGTACTTAAAAAAGTTTAGACTTCTGAAAGCTAGATGCTTTTCTCAAGTACCTGAGCACAAATTAGTCGAAATGGCTGTGAATGGCCTAAATTATTCGATTAGGAAAAACTTGGATACTCAATACTTGAGAGATATGGCACAATTATCTATTAGGGTTCGACAAATTGAACATTTAAAAGTTGAGAAAGCCAAAGTCAGTAAGTATCAAAAGAAAGGGAAGGTTACTTATGTAGACACTGAAGAATATTCTTCCAATGACGATGAGTCAATCGAAGAAAATGAGATTAATGTGGCTGAACTCCAGCCTGGGCCTCCTTATGCTTGTAAACCATTGAGGCCATCAAACAAGAAGAATCTAGTCAAAACCGACAAAAGTGGCAAGGCCATCACAAAAACTTACACTTCCGATATAACTAAGTGTGATGAAATATTATATTTGTTAGTAACTGCGGGTCAAATTATCATGCCTCAGGGCCCAAAGAATCCCCCACTGGAACAAAAGAAGAAAAAGGGATTATGCAAATTTCATAATTTTCTTGGTCATAAAACATCTCAATGCGTTCTTTTCATGGATTTGGTGCAGAAAGCTCTAAAAGAAGGCAAGTTGCAATTTGGCGAAAATCCAAAGATGCAGGTGGACACTGATCCGTTGAAGGTTGAAGATGCTTTATATGTGAAGCCTTTTGAGTGCATGATGGTCGAAACTACTGAGGGCGTCGACGTAGAAGTTTTGATGGTCGAAGTTGTCGCGGTAAAAAATCGAGGAGACATGTTATTGAGAAACTTGACTCAAAATGACTTAAGAAGTTACCACCGAACTTTATTGTTTCCAAGGAAAATGGAAAATATCAAAATCCCATTGTTTAACATGCAATGCAAGAAGTAAAGAATAAAAGCAAAGCATAAGGAAGAGATTCAAGGTACGAAGGTTAGTTATACAAAGGGAAGGTATTAGCACCCTATGTATCTATAGTACTCTATATGAACCATTTATAATATCTGTTTTTGGTTTAAAATTGTTTATTTGTTAAATGAGTGTGGAGATGGGAAAAGAAGTATATTTTAGGATATTTTGTATGGAAAGACATAGTCTTATACCTACGTACCAATTAAGGATCAAAACCTCGTAGTTCATGGTAAAAACAACAAAATGGTTTATTGTGGTTGATTTTAGGAGGAAAGATATTTCATCATATTTTAGAGAGAAAGCTCAACTAAAACCACCACAAGTATGAGAAGATGGATCTTGCATCATCATAAAGAAGGGCTACTAACTTGGATATAAAGATCAACAAGATGACAACTAACGTCTTCATGTGGAGAGAATCACATTTACTTCAACAATTACTATGGGGATAGGAGAATCATATCTCAACTATAAAGAGGATTTATATCTAATCTCTTTGAGAAAATTTTTAAATTGAATAGCCAAGTGGAAAAAATATTTGGGCGAGGTTGAGTCATTTTTAGTCTTTTGAAATTGTTTTGATGTTCGTAAGTATATTGAAGCATTTGATAAAAAAGAAAGTTGAAAATGCAATGACATAAAGTCAAGGTTTTTATATGAAAGTGGTGAAAGTTTGAAAAATGATTTTTTAGGGTTAGAAAGTTCCTTTAGAGCATATGAGAATACATAGGGTGATTATTCACAAAGATTTTATACAAAGGAGAATGCACATGCTTACGACTTTAAAGTAAACAATATTATCCC